AAGCACATAAGCAAGCACCAGGAGCAGCAGCAGCAGCTTTTCATTCCTTTTTATGGCTGAATAATATTCCACCGCATGGAATGGACATTTTGCTTACCCCTTCATCAGTTGATGGATATTTGGGTTCTCTCGCTTTTTGGCTATTATGGATTATGCTGCTATGAACATCTGTGTACATGTTTTTTTTTTGTGAACATATGGTTTTAATTCTCTTGGATATCTGTATCTATTTATCTAGGATTCATGTGCTGGGACATATAGTAACTCTACGTTTAACTTTATGAGGAATTGCCAGGCTGTTTTTCAAAGTGGTTGCATCATTTTACTTTCCCACAATCAATGTATAACTGTTGCAATGTTTCCACATCCTTGCCAACACTTGTTATTATATATTCTTTTTTTTTTTTGGTGGTACGCGGGCCTCTCACTGTTGTGGCCTCTCCCGCTGAGGAGCACAGGCTCCGGACGCACAGGCCCAGCGGCCATGGCTCACGGGCCCAGCCACTCCACGGCATGTGGGATCCTCCCAGACTGGGGCACGAACCCATGTCCCCTGCATCGGCAAGAGGACTCTCAACCACTGCACCACCAGGGAAGCCCATATATGTTCTTTTGATCGTAGCCATCCTAGCAGGTGTGCAGTGGTATCTTGCAGTTTGGATTTGCATTTCCCTGATGGCTACTGATGTTACACATCTTCTATGTGTTTCTTGGTCATTTGTGTAACTTCTTTGGAAAAATGTCTATTCAGATTCTTTGGCCATTTTAAAATTTAAAAATATTTTATTACTGAGTTGTAAGAGTTCTTTATATATATTTCACAATCAAGTCTCTTATCAGATATAGGCTTTGCAAATATTTTCTCCAGTTCTGTGGACTGTTTTTTCACTTTCTTGAAGATATTCTTCAAAAGCGATAAGCTTTACATTTTGATTCTGTCCAATTTATCTATTTTCCTTTTGCTGTTGGGTGTTTAGTAACATGTCTAGGAAACTACTATCTAATCCCAGGTCATTCAGAGTTACATCTATGTTCTCTTCTAAGAGCTTTACTTTTAGGTCTGAGCCATTCTGAGTTAACTTTATATGTGCTGTGTGGCAGCAGTCCACAAGCACATTTTAATGCATTTTTTTATCTTAATAATGTAAAACTTTGAAAACAGATTCAAATTCCTAAAGACCTTCTTAGTTCTTGAAAGGTGAGGTAATTTATCACTACCCTATCTACTCTTCTATCCTTTAGAAAAGTGTTTATCCCCTCCTTTTTCTTCCCCCTTTGTGACAGCTGAGTAATTTTGAAGTTTTACTTTGTACGTTACTCTTCTCTTACTCCTACTATCATATCGAGAAGATTAACGTTTTCTGAACACTACTTTTGTCATCATAAATGAAGTACTGTGGTGCAACTGCAAAGTAATAAACAGGATTCCACACAGTAATTTTTTCTCTACTTTTTATTTTCCACAGTTGTTACTTCAAAATCTTACCAGAATATTTTCGATCTTGTTTCAAATGTCACATTTGTAATTTTTAGCTTCACTTTTCTAATTATTTTTCAGGCTGCGGGTGAGGAGAAAGTAAAACTTTGAGCAAATTATTCAGTTTCTACCTTACTTCTCTATCTCTAGGTTTTCCCAGTCACCTACCAACATAATTCCTTTTTTTTTTTTTTAGCTTGGATTCTCTTCTTGAGTCTGCCAACTTCCCACCTCTGGCTCTTTCCCAACAACACCCCAATCCCTAAACCGTGAAACTCTTCAAGGATTTTTTCAATTGCTCACCAAGATATCCTCCACCGTAGCAAAAAGATCACATGAATTTCTCTAATACTTTGGAGCGATCGTCACGTACTTCAGAAGATTTATCGTAGTTGTGCTCCCCACAGTTCCTCTACCCAAACTTATACTTGGATTTTCACTGATCAGTACTTTCAAGCTGCCTGTCTTAGCTCATGTAGCTCCTCCTTCTGTACTGGGGTAAACACTTGTATCACCATTTTAAAAGACCTCATTACTCTCTATCTGTGAAGAGTAGAACAAGAAGAAATCACTTGATTCAGATACTCTCAAGATTCCTAAAGAATTAGAGATCATTTCTCATTGTTCTACAAGCGCTTATGTCAGGGAGCATCCAGACAAAAGGTAAGGAATAACTCTTCTTTCCAAAAGTACATTTGTTATTTTACAAACCTAATCTTCCAAATACATATGTTTTCGCTAGGGGTTCACAATCAAATTTATTTATAATTAAGAAGTTTCTCTGGTTTGATTTCAGTTAAAAAAAAAGTAAATAGTTAAAAAAAAAAGACTGTCTTTTGGCAACTGCCTTTTTTTAGTTAACTTTTAGGATGAGAGTTCTGAAGTAACTACTTCATTTCTTGATAATTACAGAGCCATCATAGTCACATTTAAATACTGTGTATCTGTGTATATAAATATGATGTATGTCTGTGCGTGTATAAACAAATACTAAGCCATGTTTCTATTTGAATAATATGTTTATATATTGTTACAAGCATATTTTTACTTCATGAACTTTTTACAGCTGAATCACTTCCTTTTTTCAAAAAAAAAAAAACAGCCAATACCTAAAAACAAGGCAAAAAGGATTTCCCTTAAAAAATTTAAGCTACTCACTCTAAAAATAGTCTATTCAAGTACTATTTCTACCCCACCCAACTGTGTAAACTAAGAAACAAGACTAACAACTTAGAGAGATTTTTTTTCCCTTCAATTTTATTTATTTATTTATTTATTTTTGGCTGCACTGGGTCTTCGTTGATGCACGCGGGCTTTCTCTAGTTGCGGCGAGTGGGGGCTACTCTTCGTTGCGGTACGTGGCCTTCTCATTGCAGTGGCTTCTCTTGTTGCAGAGCATGGGCTCTAGGCATGCGGGCTTCAGTAGCTGTGGCACATGGGCTCAGTAGTTGTGGCTCGCGGGCTCCAGAGAACAGGCTCAGTAGTTGTGGCACACAGGCTTAGTTGCTCCGTGGCGTGTGGGATCTTCCTGGACCAGGGCTCGAACCCGTGTCCCTTGCATTGGCAGGCGGATTCTTAACCACTGTGCCACCAGGGAAACCCTAGAGATTATTAATGCTTTAACTTCTATTTAGAAAAGACTATCTTGTTATTGTATAGGAGATAATTATGGTATAAACTTGGTTTTGATTTCATTAATTTAGGATTTTTAGGTTTAATCTATGAGATTGATACTACTTTTATTTTTGAGGCCTTATTATCTTCAATATTTATTATCTTCCATAATTAAATGTATTTACTAGTGATGATAAATAAAACAAATGTTTCATTGCATAAGATTTATTTCAAATGTCTAAGAGTTTATCACCATCTCACTGTCTGACTTTAGAAATATCTCAAGAGTATCATATTGCTTTAAAAGAATTCAATAAGTATATATCAGATTTACTTTATGCAAATGATTCTTGGAGTTAGAAGTCTTTATAGCTTCGTCAAATTTATAATGATAATTTTTTTCTTTGTATCTTCCAAATAAAAAATTTATTGTTTTATTACCTAAAAACATAGAGACACCTAAGTAAAGATATTGTAATCTGTATCAGCTAGTTACCTAAAAGAATGTGTCATAATAAAGGCCCAGATTTTCTCAAAATCCAAAATGTCAAATATGGCATCAGGACATGAACTTAAGATTCCAGATACATGATTTCTGTATATATATTCCTAATTTTCTGTCAAAACTGGTTTACAGTCACTGTCTTCTTTAAGAAATATGATTAACGAGGTAGAAATAAGTATGGTAATCTAGAAGTGTCTAAGGCAGTGCTGTCTGATAGAACTTTCTGCTATGAAGCACTGTTCTATATCTGTGCTGTCCAATTTGGTTGCCATTAACCACACAAGGCCAGTGAATACCTAAAATGTGATAAAGCAACTGAAGAACTGAATCAGTAATTTTACTTTTTAAAAAAATAAACGTATTTATTTTATTTATTTATTTTTGGTTGTGCTGGGTCTTCGTTACTGCGCGCGGGCTTTCTCTAGTTGCGGCGAGCGGGGGCTACTCTTCATTGTGGTGCGCAGGCTTCTCACTGAGGTGGCTTCTCTTGTTGCGGAGCATGGGCTCTAGGTGCACGGGCTTCAGTAGTTGTGGCACGTGGGCTCTACAGCGCAGGCTCAGTAGTTGTGGCCCACAGGCCTCACTGCTCCGCGGGATGTGGGATATTCCTGGATCAGGGCTCAAAACCGTGTCCCCTGCGTTGGCAGGTGGATTCTTAACCACTGCATCACCAGGGAAGCCCAGTAATTTTACTTAATTTCAATTTTAATTTACACAGTGGCATGTGGTTAGTGGCAACTGTACTGAATAGTACATATCTAGGATATTGAAAATATTGAATATTTTCATTTACAAATACTACTGAAATGGAAAAAAAATGGTTTCTTTTACAAAAGCTATAAATACAGATTAGCAGACCACAGCTGAGTAGGAATGACTGTTGTCCTAATATGAAACTTTTCTCGACCATCATAAAAAATTAATAAAGTCCTGTTTTGCACAATGTACCATCTTACAACCCAAGAAGAACATTGGTATAGACTGCCCTAAAAAGACAATTGAGCAATCATTAATCACATTATATAAGAATTAAAGAAATAAATATTGTGGTGTGGAAAGAGAAAGAATGCTATAGGAATTTCACAGATTTTTCTCCAAATTGGTTAGAAAAAAGTCTGTGGAGAAAATGAAACTTCATGTGTTGAAAAAGAATCAGAAATTTCTTCAGAGAAAAGATATTCCAGGCAGAATGTGAGGCCTGAAAAGATAAACCAAGGTAAGATGTATGCTTAGTTGAGAAACTGCATTTTCCTGAGAAGACAGTGGATTTATCTGATAAGTACAAAAAGGAGGAAATAAAATAGGCGAGGACTTTAAAAACAAATGCGTCTTCATCTATTCTTACTGCTAAGTCTTCTGGTAAATCTTTTAAATATATATTGAAAATTAAAAGGACTTTTAAACCTGGTTGTTTTGAAGTCTCTCAGTGCTGTAGAGATGTATTCAGATAAATGTTTTTCCATGAGTGCTACTCTGATCCAGGCTCTACCCTAAAAGGAAGAAGAAAGAATCAAACATGAAAAAAAAATTAGAAGTTAAAATATATTTTGCTTGCTATGTCATAAAAATATAAACATTTTAATATGCAAAGAATAACTCACTCAAAATATGCATTTGATAAAGACTAAAAAATATTTAAGTAGATAAGATGAGGTGAATTTTAATTATATATAGTATATACTTTGTTCTCTGAAGGTGCAGGGTAGATCATGTCAGATTAACTTTCTAGCATATGAAGGGACATAACCATTAATATTGACTTAACTTGGGTTAGAGACTTCTTGTGAATTATAGAAGGAAATCACAAGACATATCTCTTTACTTCAATGCCCAAATCAACATGCCAATTAAAATAAGCCCCCTTATAAAACATGAAGAAAAGAGTCCGTTCTCATTAATAAAAATAATCACCCTCACACCACTTGTTTAGTCTTTCCAGAGGAAGGTTTCAGACAACCAAATTTCATTATTTATCATACATCCAAATCATGAGTTACTGAATTTGGTGCCTCCAGAGCATTCTAAAGACTATTACCAAAAATTTAAACCAGAAAAAAATAAACACACAACAAAACCACCCAGAAGCATACTCTAGAACAAAATCACAGAAAACACACAATTCTAACAAAATATGAAAAATTTAATTTTACTTTTGAAAAGAGGTAACATCACTCAATAGTTGGGACTAGCCAGTTAAGTTTTTTAATAATCCAAAGGATTTCTTCTGAATTCTTTGTTTAGAATGAAAGACTATAAAGATTATATTTTTTAGTGAGAATTTTATAATTCAATTACTTTCCTTTTCACTCAACCCTTTCACACATCTCCAGAAAATCTATGAAGACTAACTATATAGAAATTCAAAACACTGCAATGGCAGCTAAGAATAAAGGTGTCACTAACCAATATATATGATGGTCGACTACCAGTATAGAAAAAGAAGCACTGAAATGTCTACAGTTGTAGAAATGTCTACAACTCTAGTGAATTCACCCAAACTGTCAGACAGAAGGATCAAAATGGAGTTAATACAGACGTGGAAAAACCTAGCAGGCTAGGACTTCCCTGGTGGTGCAGTGGTTAAGAATCCACCTGCCAATGCAGGGGACACAGGTTTGAGCCCTGGTCCTGGAAGATATCACATGCCGCGGGGCAACTAAGCCCGTGCGCCACAACTACTGAGCCTGCGCTCTAGAGCCCACGAGCCACAACTACTGAGCCCGCACGCCACAACTACTGAGCCCGTGCTCCTAGAGCCTGTGCTCCACAACGAGAAGCCACTGCAATGAGAAGCCCGCGCACCGCAACAAAGAGTAGCCCCCGCTCGCCACAACTAGAGAAAGCCCATGCACAGCAACAAAGACCCGATGCAGCCAAAAATAAATTACAATAAATTTTTAAAAAACCAACAACCTAGCAGGCTAAAAGTAGCAGTATTGCTGGGAAATAAAGGAATGATATGGGTGTGATTAGTAGCATGCCAGTCAGTTTGCCCACCAATTTGCCCACCTTTTTTTAACCTAAAAATCCCTTAGCTTGCCCTGTGCTGAGTCCATTGTTTCTGCTGAGTCAGCCCAGGGGAACCTACAGTTAGCTGTAGCGGATTGGAACAGAGGAAGGAAGAGGCAAGCGCGAGCTCCCAGTCTCAAGTTTCTTAAAGTTTCATCTAAAAGACACAGACACTAGTAGTAGTGGCTTGAATCGAAAAGCTACATTCTAAAACAGAAGCGGGAAAAGCTGCTCTCCAGAGAAAGTTAGACACAGGAGACTGTGCTATTGTTAAGATAAGAAATATGGGGGAAAGTCCTGCTTCCTGATTTATTAATTTCAATCCACACAAAACTGGGCTGCACCTAGTTTCCTGTCCTTAGATGTTTGTGGAATTCTTTGTTATACTGTCATAATAAATGGTGCTGATTTTAACAGTTTCTTTTCTTTCAACAAAAGAAACAGAAGATATAAAGCTTGTTGGGACTATAAAGGGGGAAAAGCTGAAAATCAGGTTTAAGATTTTAGACTTTATCAGATAATGGTGAACCACTGAAGGTTGCTGTTATTGTTTGGGAGACACAAATATTTGTTTGTTTGCCACTAAAGGTTTTTCCAAAAAATTAATAAAAGTAGTCAACACTTCTTAAGAATGTAATTAATACACGCTTACCTCTGTTTTAAGAGCTTTTTACACATTAAGATATTTAATCCTCACAAGAACTGTGTGAGTCAGGTTACAATACTATCCCTACTTTACTATATGAAGAAACAAAAAATAGACACAACTGGAAGACAGGAAACTCATGCCACCAAACCAACCAACCTAATTGAACTAATACCCATACACTCTACCTTCCCTCCTATTTTAGGGGATGAACTGTAATCACTTAAGATAGTAAAAAGACAAATCACAGAGTGGACAAAAATATTTGCATTATATGAATCTGACAAAAGAATCTCATTTGTAGAATGCCAGGAATTCTTACAAATCCATAAGAAAAAGATAACTCAATTTAAAAATGAGCTGCAAGGGGAAGATTTTAAACTATAGCGTCAATTTCTTTAGTAGACATCAGAATATTCAGATGCTTTCTTCCTTTTTGTGTTAGCTTTGTAAGTGACAGTTTTCAAATAATTTGCCCATTTCATTTAAATGTTTAAATTTATAGGTGTGAAGTTATTCATAATACCTTCTTTTAGGATTTTTATTGTCTGTAGGGTCGATGGGTTTTACCTCTTCTTCATTATTGATACTAGTAATTTATAATCTCTCTTTTTTTTTTCTTTCTTGAGTAGCCTTGCTAGAAACTTATCAGTTACATTAATCTTTTTAAAAACACCAACTGGGACTTCCCTGGTGGCACAGTGGTTAAGAATCTGCCTGCCAATGCAGGGGGTACGGGTTTGATCCCTGGTCCAGGAAGATTCCACATGCCACGGAGCAACTAAGCCCGTGTGCCACAACTACTGAGTCTGCGCTTTAGGGCCTGTGAGCCACAACTACTGAGCCCGCCTGCCACAAGTACTGAAGCTCACGCCCCTAGAGCCCGTGCTCTGCAACAAGAGAAGCCAACGCCACGAGAAGCCTGAGCACCACAACGAAGAGTAGCCCCTGCTGGCCAAACCAAAAGAAAGCCAGCACACAGCAATGGAGACCCAACGCAGCCAAAAATAAATAAATAAATAAATTAGTTTAAAAAAACCAAAAAACACCAACTTTTGGTTTTGTTGATATGTTCCTAGTGTACATTTGTTTCAATTTAATTGAATTTTTGCTCTTCATTATTTCTTTCCTTCTACTTTGGGTTTATTACTTTTTTTTAAGCTTCTTGAGATAAAAGCTTTGATCACTGATTTTTCAGCCTTTCTTTATAAAAAATACATAAAAGCCTATTTAAGCCTATCTATTCTCCTCTAAGCACAATTTTTTATATATTTTCATTATCATTACTTACCCAATATTTTTCAATTTCATGTGTAATTTCTTCTTTCATCCATGAGTTATTTAGAAATTCTTCTCAAATTTAACTTATATAAGCATTTTCTAGTTATCTTTTTATTATTGATTCTAGTGTGGTTAGAGAACATACTTTATATTTCAATCCTCTGAAATTCATTGAAGTGAATTACAACTTAGCAAACGACCGATTTTTCTACAAGTTCTATAAGAATGAATATCCTGTAGCTTCCTATTTTGATTTTCTTATATACTCCAGTTCTCTAGTATTATTAATCTTTATATTTTCTTTATTTATATCATAATTACTTAAAAGTCCATTATCTGCATCTCCCATAGATCTGTTTCAATTGTCTTTTTTATATTTCTTAGTTTTATTCATTTAATCTTGTTTCCTGATATACCTGGTGATTTCTGATTAAATAATGGACACTGTGGAGGAAAATTTGTAGCAACTCTAGTGCTACCTTTCTCTAGAGTAGATTTACTTTTCTTCTGGTAGACAGACAGTGTACTTGAAAATCACCTTGTACCACTTAAGGACACCGCTTTTAGGTCTTTTGAAGGCTGGTCTTCATCTGAATTTCCCTTACTCCCAAGGTACAGCCTTTCTGGGGTCACAAATAAAAGCCTGCAGTGTTTACAGGGCCCCTCCAATTTGTGTGACTTCCAGGTTTGGGGCCACCACACTAAAGAACTAGGGATAGGAAGTCGAGTGGTAGTTAAAAGAGGAGGTAGATTTGTGAATCAGTAATAGAAAATGAACACAAAAATGGCCTCTTTGCAATACTATATCTTATTGCAAAGTTCTAGTATTTGGTAATTCTGGTGTATCTGTGATTAACACCCTCTCTCTGCCTCTGCCTCTTTCAGTAGAAAATTTGGCTAACCAGCCTCTGGGACCAAGCACTGACAAGGACAGCTTCTGAACAAGGAAAAAGTAAACAAGAAGATGAGACCAGGAATAACTAGGAAGGATTAGGGACATAAGTCATAAGAATGTATTAAAGACTACACTCACAGTTCTGTCATGGTATAGGTGCTCAATAAAAATTTATCAGGTGGAAGGATGCATGGATGTATGAATGGTTGATGTGAGTAGTATATTCAGAAATTGGTCTAATATGTTAAATTTATATCATGGAAGGAACAAGGGATAAGGTTGCTTATCCTAACAAGGATGGGGGGGCAGTATAGGGGTAGGAGAGTGGAAGGTACAAACCACTGGGTGAAAGACAGGCTACAAGGATGCACTATAGAACACAGGGAATAGAGCCAATATTTTGTAATAACTGTAAATGGAAAGTAGCCTTTAAAAATTATATTAAAAAAAGTAAAATAAATTTTTAAAACTTTAGGTACTTGGTCCATGTTTTGCAAAATATTTAATTTCAATATATGTGTCAATTTTGCTAACCAAAAATTTTCCATAAGAAAAAAAATCTTTCTAAATAAAAATGGATACAGGAACAATAAACTTAGAAACTACACTGTTGAAAGATGATTGTTATACATTTGTTTATTATACAGACATGTAATTTATTAGGTTATGATTGTCAAGTAATGAATTGAATTAAATTATGTCGATCTTAAAACTGTACATATCTAGTATTTTCAACCTTTATTTTCTACTTCATTTTTATTTCATTCTGTAACTCTTAAGTGTCAAAAATGGTAAGGAAAGTTACTATGACAAACCAATAAAAATAAACTACTATACTAAAGCTAATATACCTTATGTCACCAGCTCAGACCTTTACAATCTTAAAAATTTTGAGGACTCCAAAGGGTTTTTACATAGGTTATATTTATCCATATTCACTGCACTACAAGTCAAAACTGGAAACTTAAAAAATATATAGTAATTAAAAAAATAATGAACTCATTATACGTTAACACTGAAAACCATATTTTTATGAAAAAATAACTATCTTTCCCTAAAAAAAATATTAGAGAGAAAAGGAGCTCTGTTTTACATTTTTACAAATCTCTTTAGTGTATGGCTTAATAAAAGAGAACTAGATATCTGCTTCAGCATTCTATCTGTTACAATGGGTCGTTCTGGTTGAAGCATGTGAAGAAAATCTACCCTCACATAGATACATAATTGGAAAAGGGAATCATTTAATAGCCTTTTCAGATAATTGTGGCTGATATTCTCCTTTGGTTCTAATCAAAACTCAGTAAGTGATAATTTCTTAAAGGTTAATTGCAACATGGACTCTATAACCATATCAATAAATGTTTCATACTGTATTACATTCTTACACTTTGAATGGATCTTTTACCCATGCATGATTTTATTACTCCACACATCAGACACAAGAGGGAAGAGATATGGGAACATATGTATATGTATAATTGATTCACTTTGTTATAAAGCAGAAACTAACACACCATTGTAAAGCAATTATACTCCAATAAAGATGTTAAAAAAATAAAAATAAAAAATATAAGTTATGCAGGTCTACAAAATACTGACACATTCCATTAAATAATATATATTTTTGTTAATATCAACATCAATGTTATTAGAAAAGCATTTAAGTACTAGGAAGTTATCGAGTTAAGATGGTGAATACACTACAAGTTTTCCAAAATTCTAATTTTTACTGGAAAGCTTTAATTTTACCATTGGCAACAAATACTGTCAAGCTGTTTTTCTTGAAGGAACAGGTTTACTTCATTCATCTTTACTTATGAAATGTCTACAAAATGCCTACGTCTAAAAAGGCTATAGTTTTCTTGAGACAACCATCACATGTCAATACGCTGTATACATACTTCCCATTTTGTCACTCAAGATACTAAAAAGACAGCTTCTCAAAGGTTGAGATTTAATTAAATTAATAATGTTTACTTCACCATCATGGACATTAAGTGAAACTGGTTTTTGTTTTTGTTTTTAAGACTGAATGTATGGTGAGGAAGAACTCAATGACTACTAGTACAGTTTGATGCTAGTGCTTTAATTTTATGCTAAGGCACCAGTTAATTTTACCCACCACTGCTTCTGCATAAGCAGTGCAAATATCAACCCGGTGCAAAAGGCAAGTAACATGTTGGTATTATGTGAAAATAGTTTTGACATTATGGACTGCCAGCGCAGGACACTAAGAGTCACTGATTTAGGTAATTCAAGAAATGTAGAAACTTCATAGACTAGGAAATATTTTACTGTGCTTCTCAAAAAAGAAATTCATAGTTACTAGCTTTATACCTTCCTGCTATTTATAAGGCAACAGTGAAGATTCAAGAGCATTCTAAAATAATTACATGCTACTAAAAATAAAAAATGAAACAAGCATCTGAAAGATGTTAAATTTGGTCAAGTGCTTAATTCCAACAAAGAAAGGAAAGACTTTATATAGCAAAGAGCTCAAAATTTTCTATTTGGGTCAAAACTGTTTAGGATTAGATTACACGTACTGCACATTATTATTTATGCCTTACCTTAGCTCTAGAGGAACTGACATTTTCCATATTTTCAATGCTGCAGATACAGTTCTGTGAAACTTTCCGGCAAGCGACTCTGATATAGTCCCAGAAGCTACGAGGACTTTCATAACCAAACCAGGTTACTTGACCTTCAGGAGACAAATTGTAATACAAAATAAAACTAAACTAGAAATTCAAAACTCAAGAACAATAAAACTCTGAGAAATAAATGTCAGTAGAGTGTGCGATTGTGGAAAGGGCACCTGGGGTCAAAAAGCCTTAAGTCTGGTCCCGTTCTACCTTTACCTAGTTGTGTTACTTTGGGCAATTTATTTAATGTATCTGGATCATAGTTTTCTCAACAATAAAATTAAATTAAATGAAGTAAAAAGGGTCTAGACACTAAAAAATCTCTTATAGGTTAATATCCTGTTATTCTGACACAGTCTTTCAGAGAGCGCACAGGTATGCCTCTTTGTGGTTCTAGTTAAGCATTAATTTAAACGTCACCAGCTGCATCCTGAAGCTTCCTCTTCTTGGAAAAACAGAAAAAAATTAAAAGGCAACACTTTTTCTCCTCTTCAGAGGGATACTGCAGAGAAATGAAACAATGTGTGGTCTGTAAATACCTATAATCAGTGAGACTCCTACATTCACTAATCATTCCTACCCATTCACTACCATTCTACCCAAACCTTCATCTAACTGTCATTCATCTGCTCTCTTCTAGTCACTAACCTGTGAAAAGTCCTTCAGGCATTTACTATTCTGATCTTCCAGATTTGGGTAATTATGCATTGTTCAAGAACAAATGTTCTTTTGTGTGTATCTTACATTAGCATTAATATTTCTATGCAGGACTTTGAGTAGTAGGTCTAGGGGAACAATTTTTTACTCTGAATATTTTTAAATGGGACATGAGAGACATCTTAATATTTCTTCAGGTGTCTGGAATAATTATTCTTACCTAGGGAAGTTGTTCAATCTTAATGAAGAAGGGTTAGCTTTTATATTTTAAAATCTCTGCTTCTTTGTTTTCAGTAACACGTTCTCTCTAAGCAACATCAAAAAGAGTTAAAGTGTTCCTGTCCACAAGCAGCATTTTAGGAACAACGTCTGAAATATCTGAGTGGTGTCCAACCAGGGCAGCCCATAAGAATGACTGGGCTTCTTTTAAAAAGTACTCATGTCTGGGCTCCACCCAAACTAAATAATCAGAATCTTTGGGGGTGGGCCTACACACTGGTATTTTTTAAAAGATCCCCCTGGTGTTTCTAATAGTATGGTTACTCAACCAACAGAAAGCTCACATATCATGATAGGTAACCCCTATTCATCATGCAGGACATTTCCAAGGGCTCCTCTTCTGGTAAGCCACGTGTGATCTCTGCAGTAAGTTACTCCTCCCTATGTGCTGGCCTATCACCCTGAGCTTACTTACCCTTATAATTATCTGCTTACTTGACTGTCTCACATATTAGGTGGTAAGATCACTAAGACAAGGACTGTATCTTATTTGTCCTCAATTCTATCTCCAGCACTTAACACAGTGCTTGGCTCATAGCAGGCATTTAATAAATATTTACTAAACAAATCGACTGGTTAATCAGCACAAAACAAGATCTTACTTGCAATGCATATAGAAATTTGAATTTAAAAAATCTAATTGGTATCTTTTTACAGAAACAGCTCAATGACAACCTGGTATCAAGATGTCTGCATGCTAGATTACAGATATCAAATATTCTGGACAAATACATTTAGCTTTGTCTACAAATAACTAAAAATACAAAAGCATCTAGAAATATTTACTCAAACATCTATATAACTCAAATGTCTCCTTAAAAATTAAATCTTACTACCAAAAAATACAAATCTATAGGAATGTTTATAATCTTCCTTCTTTTTCTCAATCTCTCCCCATCACTTTTCTTTGCCCCCTCTCTTCTTTAGTTAAAAAAAATTCCTAGAACAGGATCTCATTATAGTCTGTCTTTGGGGCAATTTTCATGTTATCAATTTGTTAGCCATTTGGAGAGGAAACAGGATGCCTAATGGTAAGAATATGAGCTTTTGAGCCTGGTGGGCCAGAATTATATCACTTTCTAGACATGCAATCTTAAGCAAATGACTTAACTTCACTCTACCAATCTGAGTTTCTTCTATAAATTGACAATAATGGTGGTGTCTACATGATAACACTGTTGTGAGGATTAAATAATGTATGTACAGCAATTAGTATACAGCCGAATACAAATATTAAGAATGATTACTACTGTTATTACTATTATCATACAAATAGTCAAGAGACCCAAGGTCCCCTTGCATTGCAAAGTGGGAATGAGATGCACAGTGAAGTTTTTCCCGTTACTTGCTTAGAATCTAGAAAAATCTTTAACATTTACTCCCTAATCCAACCTTTTACCATATCAACCATATTCTAAATTTACCTCCCTAAAATCTAGTCTTGACTAATTTTCCTTGGCTTCTATTAATTGGGATTGTCCCGCAATTTAAAAATGAGGAACAGCTACTACACTTCCCTCAAGAAATGGAGAACCATACACTGCCAGGGACCTCAAAAGGAGAATCACAAGATTTCTCTGGTGACTTTATTTTAAATCTTCTCATGAATTTGACATGACTGAGGAAATTAATTTATGAGAAGTTTCAAAGTAGAGCTGTTGAAAACCAAAAGAATAGAACAAAGCCCCCTTTTGGAGGAGAGGAAACAAAGATATAGAGAAACTAAAAGTCTAGGCTTAGGTTAAACAGAGAAGGAATGGGCGCTAAATCCTTAGGATTCCTGCTATGTGTAGGATATGCTGTCTACAAGACTTTCACCCAAGAGACAATGACAAGATTTCCTAGCTAACAAACTGAGAAACTAAACAATTAACAAAATGACATGTTGCCATGACTTGCAGGGCCTTCAGTATACCAGTAGTATCTTCACAACACTGCTACCTACTCAAAAAATTAGATGAGAGGATGACTTGGCTTGATTCTGCCTTCCTTTCTCTTTCATGTGCATCATTTCCAAAATGAAGTTTTTAAATCAAGACCCTGAATTTTTCACATTCAGAAGGATGTGGGTTAAGAGTCCCTTGTTAGAACCTCCAAATGAACTCTCATGTAAATTGTCCATGTATCCTAGGGTTTTATTTAAATAATTAAATAATTTCTGCATCTATGAAAAAGGTTGAAGTTAATTAAAAATAATAGAAGTGTTCAATTGTTTATTTGAGATATTATTACTTGAACATCACTTTTACTTAAACACAGATTAACTGCTAGCAAAAGATGTACTTGGGGTATTAGTCTGTAACCAGTATTCAACAGGAAAATTAAAAAACAAAGCTACAGGCTGATCATGCCTTTAAAAATAATTATGGAGGTAATAAATAATCACTCCAAAGATATTCTCATTTCCTTTAAAAAGAACCAGAAAAGCAAATCACATAGCAAGAAACTGACTAGCCTACATTTTGAAGAAATTTTATTCAGGAGAAGAATTATGCTGTCATTAACAATTCTCTTTTTAACGTTGCTGACAAGTGTAAGTGTATAAAGTGCTTTCAATTTTATATGTTTTTAGTAGTTGACTTTTTACCAAAGACAAAGTTAAACAAGCTTTTCAAAACTTATTCCCAACCCATCAATCCAACTCTAATTCATTTTAGGCACAGAAATAAATGGTGAGTTTGCTAGACTAAAAGGAGATCTGCTACTAACCAGCTACGTGACGTCTTTCCCACTAAACTGCCTCATTTTCAGCAACTTAAAATGGCCTGTGATCTCTAAGATCCAATGTTATTCTAAAATTACTCTTCTATATTATTTAACTTAGATACCTAACTTAATATTACTTTAGATACCTACCTTAATATTATTTAAGGTATCTAACTTAAATAACATAGTCACATCATGCAATATACTCGTGTTTTGCTTTTATCTTATTTTATGGCAAGATGAGACCTTCTAAAAACAAGAACTAAACTTTCCAAAGTGGTTCTCTATTTAGTAGTGACTAATGACACATTACCTTTTGATAATATAAAATATAAATGAATCTGTTAAGTGACTTCCTTTCTCCACCCTTTGTATTAGTACTTCGCTATGTAAAGAGCCAATGTAAGACTGGTCTCACAAGCTGAAGTTCTGTTAGTGCTACAATGTATCACCTAGATGATGACAACAAAGACTATTACCTTGGAGCTGCTATTCATCTAGACAAGCAATAAAATACAGTCCCATTTTAATTTTAATAAGCTACTCTGATATTGCAAAAGTTTCAGATACTTAAAGGAAACTGGTTACTTATGGATTTACTGTTGCCAATATATTAATATTTCAGTATTTAACTTTTCACTGTAAATTTTATAGCAGCAATCCTAAATTTCTTACTGCTAATTTATGAAAATTAGTTTAATATTTTCTACTATCTTTTTACTGAATAGAGAAAATTCCCATTTCAACAAAAGGTCAGAATCTTTTCCTTTTAAAAAGTACTACTACCAGTTGAAGCTTATATTTATTAGACCACCCAGCTTTCAAAGTAAAATTATGACCTTGATTAATTTCCTAGATAAAGTCTCATGTTAATGTTTAAAAAAAAAGAACAAATTTAAACACTTAAAAAAAAACCTTTAATTACACTTTCAGCTGATCTGAAGAAATCTGAGTCTAGATACTCAACTGTACTTATAGTGCTAGCTCTGTATGTTACTTACAAGATGCCTCAAGTAAATCATTTAGCAACTATGAATCACTGTCACTAATCTATAAAATGTAATTACTACCCTTTGGTACTGACAATTAATGTCTTGTTCACTGGTAGGGAATTTATCACAAACAAACATCTAAAGTATGTATCTACACCATAAAAATTAGTCAATTCTTAATCTTCCAAAACCAAAAAATATTAAGATAACCAGGTTCACCAAAAATCTGAAAACTGAATTTTACTTAATAGGCTTTTTTATCCAGGTAATTTTACCATCTTTCCAAGCAGAGTACAAAGGTTTTGTTTTTTTCTTCCACCAGCATTTTTTAACATAAAGCTTAGAATACCAGTAGACTGAATTAGAGTACCAAGGGCTGATGTCCACACAGAGAGCCACGCATAAATGTGTAGCCCTGAAGAAATCAAGCATAATGTGTTTCAGTAGTGATTAAGGTTATACACAGGGGACATTAAATTGTTTAAAGTGATTGTTTGTGGGGATCAGGATTGAGGAAATGAGAAGACATTCGTTTTCTACTTTCTACCTTTCTTATTATAAGTAATCTTTAAAAATAATAACTATGTATTTCTTTTCTAAGTGAAAAATATAATAAAAGGCCAGGTCATTAGCACAGAGGCCTAGCAGTGCTTTGCATACAACAGGAACTCAATAAAAAAGTTTTGAGTAAGTGAATAAAGGCATATATTCTACCTGGAAGAAAGGAAACTGAGGAATATATTCCCACTAGTGGTTCAAGAACAGTGAAACAGTTACTGTTGACAGCCCCCACGTATGTTTTACTGAGTAACTCTGGAAATTCACACAGCTTCCCTGAGACCCAGTTTGCATGTAATACAAATATTACTACACAGCACTTACAAAACTGAGAAGATAACCAATAAGTCTTATATTATCATTATAATAAAATATAAATAACACAGAGATGCATGATTAATAAAATTGTGCTTAAAACCATGAAACTTGATAGAAATATAGAGGGGTCGTGTAGGAGAAGGAGGCGAGCAAATGGATTATTATACTGTGTGGATTCACAAAAAGCTTTTGATTTAAAACTTAGCATAAAGCATAGTTCTGCCCTCTGGATTAACAAAAAAATAGAAAGCTTTGCAAAACCCATGCAATGTACTAAGAAAGATCACTTAACTGATACAGCCCTCCCCAGTAAGTCAATTCCATGCTGCCGTGCAGCTCAGTGGCGGGACGCATCACCAGCATAGAGTACCTTGAAGAGGTATTTGGAGATGAGCCAGCCATCGGCAACTTTGGGAAATCTCTTTAAAAAAAATAAACAACAGCAACACACAGATATTTAAGAAACCTGACATCAAGTTTACAATAGCAAACTGAACGGCCCCAATAAGATGGCTACACATAATCTTGATGCAGTAAACATCACTTTTACCTCATAAATAAAATGAACTCAATGAAGATGAACTGAGCTCATGCTCTACTCAGCACGGAAATCAAGCTGGTCCCTGTAGCCTATTCTATTGGAGACGATAGGATGTCTTTAAGTCACAGAAATAAGTGAGAAGCTATTTTTCCCTGTCTACTTTCACCTCCATTATTCTTGGCCAAACATAAAGAAGCCTGACTGAATTTGCGAGCTTTGCACCTCAGAATTTATAGGATTGGTTAGAAAAATTACTCACTTATTGAACTACATGGCTTAGAGAGGTTTCAACTTTAAAAATAAATATACTTTTTTTTACTGTTAACTTTTCTAAAAGTTATAAAATTCATTTTGAAGAGCAGTTCTTTCTTTTTTTGGTCTAAGCAGAGTTAAAGTTTGTCTTTTTTTTTTTCAGAATTATGAGAACAGCACTTAAATATCTAGTAAAATGTTCTTCAGTTTAACCAGTGTTGACTAAATGCCTACTTCATGCAAAATACTGTTTTTCCTACAGCTTCCAATTATTGTTTAACAATCACCATCTGGAAAAGTACTATAAATTCTTGCCTATGTTGTTTGGCAATTCCTATACAGGAAAACTCCAAAGCCAAATTTCTGAAGTCATATTCCCAACAGATGATATCTTTTTCTTTCATAAGCAAACACTGAAATCTCCCATAGGACATGGTTCCACACCTTTCCAAATACTTAGACCTTTTATGAAACTAAACAAAAACCAACCAACCAAACACAGTCAGTAGTGTATAAAAAAATGAAAGGAAGGAGATAAATATAGTTGTGCTATTGGTCACTTCTATGTCTCTACTATTCACCTCTATCCTCCTATTTGTATCACTGTAAATGAATATTAAATTTGGAAACACATATCCAAAAGGATCTATAACCAAAATGTACCCTAGTTGAAGCCCATGTTAAAACATAATGCTCTTTCTATAACTACAACAAACAAAATGAAAATCTCTCCGCATTAAATGTAAATCAGAACAGAATGCTTTTCATTGAAAATATTAAGAATACCAATTCTTAATGTTTAAACCATATTTACTAGCTCTGCCTTGAAAGTTATGTATCTTACTTGTAGTCATTTACGTAATCAAAAGTTATCAAAGTAAAAACAATTTCCAGGAAAACCATACTTAAAGTAATTTTACTTCAAAAAATGTTATCAAGTAAAATGTATCATGTCCAGATTTATGTCATGGCTTAATCAATCCTTGGTACAAAATGGGAAACAACTACTGAATCTATTATGAAGCTCAATTTATAGTTTAGGGTTTTTTTTTTAAGCTTTTAATATGTTAGCCTTTATGCCCTGGTTATGCATGTTATTTTGATCCTGGCTATGGAGCACCATGTGAAAATTTTAACAATTAAAACATTTTCACTTATTTGTAGGCATTAATTGCTTTAATCATAATTTAATATCTCACTCTAGGTCAGTTATAAGCAACCAGAAGCATCCAGACCAAATGACAATCCACAAAATTCCAAATTATCTGTAGTCAAATTTCAACACCACTCTCGTTTTGTAGATGGGAAAGGAGAGGCCCAGAGAGAGCCTGCCTAGACCCAGCACACCCCTGTTCCCTGTAGCCTCATACTGATCTGCTCCTTTCGCTACTCCTTTGGACACATGGAGAGAATCAGTCAGCTGGCTTTCATGGCTGGATATGAGTTCTCACTACAGCCTCAGAAATAGGAAAAATAATGGGGCAGTAAACATGCACTGAGAATGAGGTAAATATTTTTCATATAAAATTTCAAGTCTTAGCTTAGTTGCTCCCCAAAAGTGTATATATAAATGAATGACAAAGCTTACATTATTTCAAAGTGGCTCAAGGAGTGGTTGTTAGAAAATGTTCTCATTTGCAGTTGAAATTAAAACTTTTGTTTTAAAGTATACAATATTAAATATTTATTTAAATATATTTATAACAAAATACATATAATATCACATATAAAATACAGATATATTAATATATAAAATACATAAAATTTCTTGACATATTTAAAATATATAATGTTAAGACAGTTTAGACAAGACCAAATAAACTGAAAGTGTTTTGTTCAAGAACAAAATTCATTCAAATGTACCATTATAATTATATAATATACTGTGATATTAGGTGTTAGTTTCTGAAATTTCAGCCAAAAGAAGAATCTACTCAGAAATAGATATGTGGGGACTTCCCTGGTGGTCCAGTGGGTAAGACTCCACGCTCCCAATGCAAGGGGCCTGGGTTCAATCCCTGGCTGGGGAACTAGATCCCACATGCATGCCACAACTAAGAAGTCCGCAGGCCACAACTAAGAAGCCCACATGCCACAACTAAAGATCCTGCATGCAAAGATCCCACATACCGCAACTAAGACCCAGCACAGCCAAAATAAATAAATAAATATTTAAAAAAAGAAATAGATATGCAATGAAAGAATGCTTAATCATATTGAAGATACCGTGTCTTCTGACTCAAAAAGTATATACTTTTCAAAAACAAATAAATGAAAGTAAATCAACTTCATAATCTTTACATTAAGGTGGAAAATGGCCATCATACAGAAAAGATTACTGACCATGGCTTTAAACACATGAATCAGCCTTGGTGATAAGACTGAATATAATTCTAATCCATAAATATGATATTTATTCCATTTTTTCATGTTAGCCCTTGTTATAACTTCAGCTTTCTAATTATTTTGATTTCTTTGACGACTGAGCTACATTATCATGATTGATAAAATCTGACAACTACGTAGAAGGTGAGCCTTTTGCCTTTGTTGTATTTAGTCTAATTTTCTTTCTCTCTGCGTATATACTCTGCTAATAAGGCTACAGGTAGATGACTTTATTTTTATGTGATCCAAGATGGATTCCTGAAAAGATCCGTAGATGGACTGATTTGTAAACTGACTGCTATTTATAAGGCAAATAACAAAACTGATTATAAATGATCAGATAGTAAGTCAGAATTTTCACAAGTTCTTTTTAAACTAGCAATACCAGATAGCATATACTCTCTTCTGTCATTGATAATAATAATGCACAAGTTCTTATTGTTTGACATTTTGAATCTTCAACCATGTATTTATATGTAAGAGAAAAATCATTCAGTGAAGCAATATTTACAACTGCATTATGCACTGTAATTAAGCTAACAATGAAACAATATTATCTTCTTTTCTATGTAGCCATTTTCCATTTTTAATAGCTTCTAAAATTAAAATTTAATATTATATATGACTTATCTTAAACTTTTAAAAAGTTTACTTTAAAATGCCATTTACAGGTAGATGTTAGGTACATTAGAAAAAGTATGTGGCTATTTGATTCAACAATTTTTAAAAACTGAGCACCAAAATCATGCAAATATTTTACATTTGAAAAGTCATAGTGACTTGAAAGAAAAGGAATGTACGAAGAATAAAAATATTAGATTATATGCATCAACAACTCATTGAGATTAGAAAATCAGAAAGGTGTAGGAACTGAAATTAATTATCTCCAAAGATGAATTAAAGTCCATTAAATTGTGTAATCTTTTCCATGTTCTATAAAATGAGAAATATTTACTTCTTTTAAATGAGCAATATTTGAGCATTAAAAGTGATCAAAACTGTTGCTGAAATTATGTAACAAAAAATTTTCTCAAGAAAACAACTTTCCATTACTGAAAATAAACAAACTATGATTTGATTATTACAAGTACTGTAAGTTGCTCTATGCTAATTTGCAAAAATCATAAGGTCAAACTGGAAATGTCCCATTATTCTTCTGGCAGAAACTCAAAGGGCTACAAACACAGATAAACAAACATGAACTACCATCAGAGACCATCAATTCCTGCTAAATCCAAGAATTTGGAATTACCTGGTAGAATCATAATTTTTTTTAACTCTCTCATATATTAAAAAAAAACACTAAAAATATCCTAGGCAATTTTATCAATAGTAGCTATTATTTAATTAATCTTTTCATAATACTTTCTATGTAGTACTCCCTCTCAGAAGCCAAATCTAAATTGGAATTCTTTAAGTTGAAGGGGTTTTGAAAGTGAAGTTCATGTAAAATAAACTTGAAAAATTCTCCAGGGATAACAAAGTTTAAAACCATTAATAAATCTCTCCTTCTATAAATAAGAAAATATTTAAATTTGGAGGTTAAAATGACTCCTTGAAAATTATGGTTTGGTTACAAAATATAAAAACTATTTAGTCTGTATCTCCTAATAAGTACAAATATTTGAGATACTTTTCTTGCTCTTCACCCCAAAATGCCTACAACAAATACAGTTATTAAGAGTACTATGACAATCACATAGCTCCAAAGAGAAGCAAATAACCAAGTACGTGGGAATAGTCTGTTTCAGAATTTTAGACATTCAAAACCATATAAAGTATTATGAAACAAAGATAAGAAAAATATTTCAGACGTTTCAAAACAGAAATAAACTCTCAAATGAAAAATAAGAGTAAAATAATAAGCCACCAATAATAATCATGTAAGAAGACTAATGGCAAGGGAGAAAAAGGTCACTGATCAAAATGGGTTATATAAAAACTAGCTCCACATGATGTGAATAATTAGTTCTTTTCCATTCTAGACTAATTAAAAAAACTCACTCCACAAAAGAAGCAGGCAGGGCTTCCCTGGTGGCACAGTGGTTGAGGGTCCGCCTGCCGATGCAGGGAACACGGGTTCGAGCCCCGGTCCGGGAAGATCCCACATGCCGCAGAGCGGCTGGGCGCGTGAGCCATGGCCACTGAGCCTGCGTGTCCGGAGCTTGTGCCTCGCAACGGGAGAGGCTATAACAGTGAGAGGCCCGCGTACCGCAAAAAAAAAAAAAAAAAAAAAAAAAAAA